TTAATGTACATACTCATAAAATTATTATATTATGATATAAAAAAACTTTAGATTCTTTGCAATGCCTATTCTATAGATGTATAAATAAATTATAATGCATGTTTTTTTTTAAATAAGACTGTATATGAACAATCTATACAAAAGAATAACATTTTTATATTTACTCGAGTGGTTTTGTTAATAATTTACATCAATAGCATCACTTATAAATATCAGCACAAAGGAGTATTTTTTGTAAACACAAATACAATCAAGTTTTTAACCACATACATACTTTTATAAAGAGCATATGTGCCAGTCAAGCTAATAACAACGTGTCGGGGTTGCTGTTTAAGCGCAATAAGGTACCGCAACATCGGCCTAAAAAAGGAGAGGAATATGGTGTTTATTTATCAGTAAGAATTTGACAATCTGACAGTCTCTCTTCCTACCCAGGGCGAGAGGTGTAGTTTGAGGGTTATCCTCCCTCAAAAAAAGCTGATAACAACTTATAGGAGTTGATTTATACAAACATATTTTAGTGGATTTTTATTTTGCTTTTAGGAATATAGGCTGTCTAAAGTTGTTAGGGCCCAATGCGGCTGATGTTAACAATACCCAATGGAGCTGTTGTTCAGCCGGGCTTGCGGATGCAAGCTCATACTGCGGCCCTAGTCTGTAGCTGGAGAAGGAAAGAGTTAGGCTATCTTAAGTCATAGAAAACTTCAAAACAAGCTGATTAGCAGTGATTGATCCATTGCTCAGAACTTCAAAAAATTTAAGTATTTTTGCAGATTACAACAAAAAAATAAACATCTTAATTATCGTAGTTAACCGCTACTAAATCCAAGTCAATAGAAGGCTATTTATAATATTGTTTATGGGTGAAGTGGCAGCTCACGAAGAGGCTTTAATTGTGAGGTTACCACTTATTCGTGAGGTCAGTCACGTGAACTCGCAGCTGAAGGATTTCCGCGTCACTTTTCGACATAGGCTTCTCCAATTAAATAATTCTGGATTTTTTCATGCCTGGTGCAAAAAGAGATCCTATTCTTTTTTTGTTTTTTTTTTTGGTTGTGTTTAACTTTGTGTACCTACTTTATTAACTTGGATAAATATTTTTTATTTAAGTTTTTGTATTAAATCCCTGTACTCTAACCAATTGTAAATAATATATAGTACATATTTACTTCTAATTAATATTTTTTTAATATTGAAAACTAATATTAAAATAAAATGTCATGTTCGGACAATCTTTTTGATCTGAAGACATATTATGAGAATTTCACAATACATACATTAATTTTTTTCAAAAAAAAACTTACTACTGTACTCACATTAATTTTTTACCATAAACCATTCCTATTTTATCATTACGTAACATATTTGCAATTGTTTTTGGACGCAATGTTCATTATGAAACAGTCCATCATTGAGGGACTCTAGATACGAGGGTAAATAGGTAATTAGTTGCCATGGCAACCAACATGAAACCAATATAATTATTCAAAAGTAGGTGTCGTTCTCCATACGTTTGAACAAAACAAGATTCTTCTAATGTTTTTACTGTGTTAGTTTCTTACGAAATGCCTAGAGTTTTTTCTCTTTGTAATTAATACTAATCGGCCTTAACAATGGAGTTTCCCAAGTTTTTTTTCTGTTCTCATTAAGGTAACGCTAATTTGTATTGTTGCCTACGCATAGGTGATCGATTACACTACAATCAATTATTTGCTTTGCTCTATCTTTTGATTAATTATGATTTATTAGTGGTGCGAATTAATTTTAGAGGTATGAGGAACAGAATGGATAGTTCCTCATCCTCCATTGAAAAGTGAGGATCCTCCGACCAGGCGAGGTGTTCGTGCCTGGTGGGCTACTGCCCGACGGTTGTTGTCGGGATATCTGTATCGGTGCTAATTGTGTTGAAAACTCTTATAGCGCGATGTAGAAACTTGCACGTAATTGGTGCTGTTGTCAATGTTGTGCGATAGATGTCGCTGCATAATCAATTTTATAAATAAGTCACTACAAGTGCGTGCCTTCCTTGGCTTATTAGAAATAAAAGACGGGTGATTTGGGTATTGAGAATGGGGGGGAGTATCAGGCTTCTGGTAACCTCATTGGAGCGGCGAAACACAGCGTAAGAGTTTGTTTCACGCCTGTATTCCGTGAGGCCGTGGTATCACTCTGCTCAAGCCGGCCCGTTTGCGATGAAACACACAGGTTCTCATGAGACTTTTGATAAAAGATAGTAATGTAGATTGTTAATGCCAAGCGCAAGCCAATGACATGGTACAAGGATGTGTTGGTTCGGGGCAGTTTTTAGTCAGTGAGGGTTTGTTACAAGGTCGCGTGTCGACGTAGACTATAGATGAGTTTTTCCTGAAAAAAGGCTGTTTTAGTATATTTTAATACAAATCCAAACTAATATTATAAATGCGAAAGTAACTCTGTCTATCTGTGTGTCTGTCTGTCTGTCTGTCTTTTCTTCACGCCTAACCTACTGAACCGATTCCTGTGAAATTTGATACATACCACATAAAGACTACATAAAGGACTAGATAAAGGACATAGGACTTGGCAAAAATTTGCAGGAAGTCACTATTCCACGCGAACGGAGTCGCGGGTAAAAGCTAGTTATACATATTAGGTACAAACCAGATTTCGTGTTAAAACTAAAAAATAACAATAATACTTTGTTTGACCTGATCATCGAACAGGGTACTTGGTCTAAATTTTAATTTATGCATGTGTAAACTAACTAGCAATAAACTACGCCTTAATAGATTGACGTGTCAAAAAATGTCATTTACATTATTAATCGTTTATTAATTTGAAACGTATTACGATGTGTTATGACATGATTTTGTATGGGCTATTAATCACGGCGTTATTGAATGCTTTTATGCTGGATGTGCTTTATGAATAAAATTAATGTTCGTTAATTCAATTAAGTAATCTTTTCTCATATTATAAAGAGGAAAGATTTGATTGTTTGTTCGTTTGCAGTGCATAAGGCTTTGAAACTCATTGAATGACGGCTATCTTAAATTCACCGTATAAATAAAACTTGCTTCTGCCTGCGGCTTCGTCCGCATGGTATGTTGATAAATAGAAGCCTATGTCCTATTCCAGAGTGTATCCTATTTCGCAGAGTGTGTATTGTGTGTATTTTTGTATCCTATTCCCAGAGTGTGCCAAATTTCATTCAAATCCGTCCACACAACAAACATCCAAACATCGTAACTTTCGCTATGTATAATATTAGTAAAATAAGATAATAGTAACTAATAAGGTAATTACTAAATAAAGTAGGTCCTAAACAAAATAGAAAAAAAAAATAACTTCCCCCGCCCTGGATGGGGTAGCTCAGGTAGGTTAGGACATCGAGAGGAAGCGTCTGACTCTTACTGACTAAAAACCATCCCGTTGCATCTCCTACTCCGAGTGTCTTTCTCGAGAGTAAAGTGATCATTAATATCTCTGAGTACGTTAGTTATTTAAGACAAACTTTATCATAAGACAACGAGGTAAATAACCAAACAGGTTTAATATAATAAGTATTTAATGCATACCTACATAAAATACGCCACCATGGCATGCCGTTTACATGCAAATACATAAAGTTAAATTAAAATATAAGGTCATATTTGTGATATTTTGTGTTTTTGTCTACAAAATGATAACAACATGTAAACTAAGTAATTTTCAGCTAAGCTAAATGTTTTAGGGATGGAAACTTCATCCTATAACTTGTCCAAAACTAGCTGGGGAACAAGGGAGTGTCCGAATCTTACTGACTAAAAATATCCACCCCATTCTATCTCCTGCTGTGGGCCACAGTATATTATTACGCTTAGAACCGCAACCCCGATTTAAATACTTCTTAGGCGTAAAATCAAATCTTCTGCTTAGCAAAGGTCTCTTCTTACGCGGAGAAGATTTGAACATTAACCACCACGCTTGGGTAAGACGGATTGGCGATTCCAGATTAAATTTATAATTAGAAGTTATAAGTCCAGGTTTCCTCACGAAGGTTTTCCTTCACCGTATGTCTGTGATGTCTAAATAAAATAAATATTAAAAGTATATAAGTCGGAAAAAGTTACATTGGTACTGGCCAGGTTTCCAACCCTCGTGTATGAAAGGCGAGCGCGTTAAACTCCGGGCCACCACGACATCAAGCATAGATGTATCTACACCTACTTTTGGTCTGTTATGTAACATTGTTCATATATAAGGCTCGAATACCCTACAAATCATTATGTATTGTCTATCAATTAATCAGAAGAGCAGTTCTCCAAACACCGCGCTGCTTACTATCGAGAATCCCTCACAAAATTATACACAAAAAAAAATATTACGCAATAAAACCGAAGAAATATCTAAAACGAATGATGTTTTGAAAACAGTTGAACAGACATTAACTGTTTTGATAAAAAGCTGTCAAATTAGGTAACCACGTTTTAACTATGATTCGTAATTGATTACTATACATATTATGTTTTGCAATTCTTATGTATATCTACTTCGTTATTTAAAGAGGTGTAGTTAAATCTTTGTGTTACGAGATTTTAGTGAAAACATTACTGAATTTATAACAATGATTGGTTAACTTAGATAGGTAATTAATTTGTTTGAGGTTTTTTTATATAAATAACGGTGCCAAACTTTAGGCTGATCTTCTGTCTTGTGGGTATAGAGATACGAATCAACAATCTCTAGATACCATAAAGTATTGTGTCGGATTTCAGGCAGTCTAGTTAGGGGGGAGAATTTTAGTGTAGGGCAAAGTTTTATAATATTTCTAAAAATATTTTTGATACCGAGTTTAAAGAACTAAAGGTAGCGTTATTTGTGCTTTTTGATTTGTCTGAAATTGTGATTTGCGTTTATCAATTCGCTTTGTGCTGATGACAGTAAAAAGTTACATACAACATCAACACTTCTGCTCACTATTTTAAGGTTCAAAATTGTGTTATGTAAAGATTAATCAAATCTTATTTTCTTCTTTACAGGGCCCCATGAAGCGGCTGTCATGCGCATAGCGGCACTGATTGCACTCGTGCAGGTATGTTCCCATCTCCATAATATTCGCATCGATCATTATAATCAATTTCGTCATAATTTGTTCATCATTGATTATTCTATTACATGTCTATCGTAAGACCTCACGGGAAGATCTCAATTATGCGATGAATGAAATCTTTCTGTGTAATTTGTGTGATTTTAGTCATTGGTAATGTTTAAGTTTATGCATTTATTATTTATTAAAGATTTAGTATATAACACAGTATAAAACAAAGTCGCTTTTTCTGTCCCAATATCCCTTATGTGTATCCTTAAATGTTTAAAACTAAGTACCTACACATCGGATTTTGATGCGATTGGTTTAAAGATTATAGGTATATAAAGAAAATTTAGATATAATAACATCTATTAGGTAAATACTATTAATAATTTGTTAAAGAAGTTAATAACAAAACTGGAAAAGAGTGATTTAGGAAAAATATAATGTACTGAACGGATCTGAATTAAATTTGGAATAGAAGTTACAATGTGAAATATCACTTAAGGTAAGAGCGAAACCATTGGCAGAAATGTATAATAAACTAGCTACTCTCGCTGCTCGGCTCCATTTGATCGTAGCGTGATGTTTTATAGCCTATAGCACTTAGGAACATTTTAGCTTTCTATCAGTGAAAGAATTTTGGAAATCCGACCAGCGGTTCCAAAGATTACCCCCTACATACAAACTTACAAATTTTACCTTTTTATAATATTAGTATAGATGTCTTCACTTCACACTAAACAGCAATGTCGTTATAAAATATATTACAAAAGAACATAAACAAAGTACTATAGAAACCCAATTATTTCCACATAAGACAACCGTAGATAATTCTATAATCAGGTTAATGAATGAATAGATAATCAAATGATTGCTTCTGACCCGACAATAACCCAATCTTAAGGTCAGAAGTTCACACATTCACTAATTTAAATAATTGTGAAACAATTTCCCTTTGACTATCAATAGCAATGCAATAAATATATTAAGTAATAAATAATATTAACCTAATGTCATCAAGGTTCATTCACCTGTTAAATTATGAGGTCTTGTAATAAGACCTTATTTTATGAGAAACACCATAGAACCATCCAGGGACCAACCAACCTTAGGTCGCGTTGTATGAGAGAGCCATACTTTGGCACGAATGGGTCGGCTCGACCGGAGTGATACCACGGTCTCACAGAAAACCGGTGTGAATCAACACTTACGTTGTGTTTCGCCGTGTGAGTGAGGTTACTGTAGACCCAATTCTTCCTACCTCCCCCCACCCTCAATCCTCAAATCCATCATCATCATCATCATCATCAGCCTATAAGTGCCCACTGCTGAGCAAAGGTCTCTTCTCATACAGAGAACGTTAGAGCATTAGTCACCAAGCTTGCTCAATGCGGGTTGGCGATTTCAAACTTATAATTAGAAATTTATAAGTCCAGGTTTCCTCACGATGTTTACCGTCACCGTGTGTCTGTGGTGTCTAAATAATCATAGAGAGTACACATAACTCGGAAAAAGTCACATTGGTACTTGCCAGCTTTTGAAGTCACACCCTCATGCATGAGAAGCGGGCTCCTTACCCTCCGGGCCACCACGACATTTATCCTCAAATCCATTATCCTTAAATCCCTTATAACCCACAAAAGGCCGGCAACGCACTTTTAGTAACTCCTATGGTATAATGAGTGTCCATGACCGGCGCTGATTGCTTACCATCAGTTAATGGGTCTGCTCGTTTCCGTAGCAAACGAAGTGTGTTTTTTTTATGTAATTGGCCCGGCATACGAGCAGACGGATTACCTGATGGTAAGCAATCAGCGCCGCCCATGGACACCCGCAACGGAGGAGTTACGAGTGCGTTGCCGACCTTTTAGGGATTAGGGATTTGGAGATTTAGGGATTGAGGAGGGATTGGGGGCGGGGAAGGATTGGGCATCCGGTAACCTCACTCACACGGCGAAACACAACGCTGATTGTTTCACGCCGGTCTTCTGTGAGGCCGTGGTATCACTCCGGTCGAGCCGACCCATTCGTGCCGAAGTATGGCTCTCCCACACTTTGTTTATTTTAGTCATTTTAGAAAACTTTACATTTTCCTGCGTAAACTTTCCGATTACAATCAAAATAAGGTCACATGATTGCCCTCTATTTAAATAAAACAATAATTAAAAATGTACATAATATTTATCGTTTAAAATAGTCCAAAGAATGTGTCAACTATTATTAAAAAAATTACGTTTCTTATATAGAGCGTGTTTCTAATCGTCATATAGTGCCGTGGTTACTGAGACAAAATTAAGTACGTGAGAGTTAGCACTCATTGTGTTGCCATGAACAATAAATACAGATTTTATGATAATAATAATAATAAGCAACGGCATTACAGATCCTTGGCTATGCGACGAATAGTTAGCACTTTGTATATTTAATGTGGTAGACAAAATATGAATAAAAACTTGAAATAGCCAGACATCAAAGCGATTGTATATTATGAAAATTGATTTGATCACAATTTACTTTAAATTTATTTTATTGAACATGCTTATAATCGTAGTGTATTAGTAATAGTTATCAATAGAGGATGATAGTTATATGCCTCAAGTATAATTTTTGAGCCTACTCAACAAGAAAATCACACTTTTCTCTAGCGATTTACTGAGATTTAAAAATTTAAAATATGAGTATACATATATAGGTACATATCCAGTGACAGTTTGCTCATGCAAATGTTTGAAAGCGTGAAATTGACAAATTTTAATAGGATAGGTGGCAATGATATTATAAGGAAAAAGGTGTGTATAGGTTACAAGCGCTCAGCAAGTGATACATTAAAATGTGGCTAACTAGCCACTTTTTATCATATTTGTCTCTTTTCCACTCGCGATTATTGAATCATGCCATCTCACTTTGACGTCTTAACATACGAATTGTTCATGTGTGTATCAGTATGTCATTTTTGAAAATCGAATGTTGTTTAGGTAACCTATCTACACCATTTTACTTATAATATCATTGTTAGGTAGACATGTTTTTAATAATACCTATAACAAATTTTTAACATATTATCTCATCATTTTGGACTCCAAATCATCCAATACGATCCAATCGATTAAACTTTATATTTGACGCTGTAGCTGTCGCTCGCTACAGCTGTTTCAGATGAACCACAGACGCTCACAGCGGTTGAGCTGAACCGCGAGTTGTCCGGCAACGATGCGCTCTCACTTTTCTACGAAAGCAGTGAGGATGCTGGGGTCACTTTCATAAGAGGGTCAAGGGCAGCTGACTCGCCCTTGTCTCCCGACATCGACGTGCAATGCTCAGGCGACTTTATCGACGTCACTGTTGAATTCGCCGACATTTTCGAAGGCATTATTTACAGTAAGGGTTACTTAAATGACCCGAAATGCAAGTAAGTATATTTTCTTTACGACTTTAGTGCATATTTTTTAAAGATGTTTCTTTTATTGACTCGATGTATACATATAAAGTTAATTGATTTGTTTAACCTTAAATTGTGGTAATTCGAGATATAATAAAATGGAATTAAGGGAGAAATAATGATCCACTGTTAAACTCAACAGCAATTTTGATTATCCTTTGTCATTTGCATTACTTGTAATTTTAAAGTCTCATACCTATGATATAGGAATCTCTCTTTGAATTGAATTTGTTAATTAAGGAAGATTTTGTAGTTTGATGCTTGAGTATATCTTAAAAGCGAAGTTTTTTAACAAATTATTTGATAAATTTCAGATATGTGTCATTGGGCAACAGCCAGTCTCGCTACTCGTTCAGAGTACCCCTGAATGGCTGTGGTTCCCGACCCCTCTGTAATGCGTGTGGTACCATTGATAATGTGCTGGTGTTCCAAGCCGACGACTTGTTGCAAGGACCACAGGACTTCGCTCGCAAGGTACGAACATAGATGATACATTCTCTAGAATTCACTTTTCCACGGAACAATTATACTTTATGTGATCCATAAATTGTTGTTCGCGCCCTCGACAGAGTACAGATGACTGTGTAAAGCAAAGTTAAAAAAAAATAAGATTTTTTTTTATAACGAAATCTCGTAAACGCAACGCATTAGCGAAATTTTCTAATCATATTTGTGGCTTATGGAAAATTTGATTAACGTAAGGTCGGTAGGTTTTTATTTTTGACCGGCATTACCTACAAACAGCAAAAGACAATATGCGCGAAATAGTCTATTTCGCGCATATTTCTACTGTCAGATATGTTTTTGATATTAACCGTAACATTTTCTATTTCTACCTTCCTTTTTATATAATACAAACCGTCAAACGCAGAAGTGAAATTCTAATCTTCTGATATCGTCTTCCAGGTGTCTTGTGCCCGCACTTCCTTGGAAGTGTCGACTGGAGTAGTAGCGTCTAGAGAAGAGCACACTCTTAAGCTGAAACCCTTCATGGTTGATATGCTTGATGTAGTTGCTGTCGAAGGACCAGCCGGAGGAGTCGAATGCTGGATGGACATCCAAAAAGGAGTTTTTCCCAATGTAAGTAATATAATTACCCTCTTGACTGTCCTGCTTTATCTGCTACTGTTCTTAAGTTCTAGTTCCAACGTAAAATATGTACTAAGTAACATCCTAGAAGTATCAGAATATACAATTTCATTGTTGACAACACGCTTAAATATCTGATAATTACGTACTTTAGAACAAATTACTAAGTCACTAACGAAACAATTTTCAGACCACTCCACTAAAGGACTCGATCAAAATTGGGGAATACTTGACAATCCTTGTGTACCTTAAGGATGTAAGGAACCAGTTCAGCCTTAAAATCCACGATTGTTGGGCTTATGACAGCGACAGCTATGATGGTCCTGGTACCAACAAGATCCAACTGACTGACAAAAATGGATGCCCCAAGTAAGACAACTTATTCTATTTTGCCTCTGAATTAAATTGAGATGGAAATACACAGCTTTGCCTTTGACTGCCGACAGAAAACTGTTGAAGGCAAATCCTCCGCTAATGGAGGTCACCGGTAACCCCCATGGTTTTTAACGTTTTAATAAATATTTTATAGAAAAACTGTCAAACACTAAACATTACATTAATTAAATTCAAACTTAATTAACACAACTAAATTCGTATGTACCTTAAAGTGTCCTTAATCAGGTGCAATCTTTAAAGGCTGTTCTTATAATAACAGGAAGAAGAAGCTGATTGATCTCTGGCAGAAGACTACGAACACTGGCAAGAGTGGCGCCACATTAATTGCTTACAGCAAAGTGAGCGCTTTCCGATTCCCTGAAACCGACCAAGTCTACCTGACCTGTAACGTCGAGGTAAATACTTTTTCATTTTGCAAAATGAAAACCAAATATTGTTTCTCACTAATATTAATTTGTTGATCGATTTTAGGGACTTAAAACAAAAAAAAATTAACAACAATATTTTCTATTTCATTTCAGTTATGCACAAACAACTGTGACTCTAATTGCAATGGCGTTGTCACGGAAATTTCTACTACGATCAAACCATCACAATGCTACCCTGGATCGCGTGATCCTGAATGTCAACGAATTACTGTTGAACCGCAACTGAAATGTTACCCTGGGTCACAAGATCCCAGGTGTCCTCAACAGCCCACGCCTACAGCGCCAAACTGTTATCCAGGCAGCACAGATCCACGGTGTCCATCACCTACAACCGTTAAACCAGTTTGCTACCCAGGCTCACCTGATCCCAGATGTCCGCAAGCTCCAAAGCCGACTACACGTAATCCTCCCACTTATTTGCCTCCGACAACTCCGGAGCCACTACGCTGCTTCCCTGGCTCTACTGATCCCAGATGTCCAAAACCAACAACTCCTGAACCTCCACGTTGCTTCCCAGGCAGCACTGACCCAAGATGCCCTAAGCCAACAACTCCTGAACCTCCACGTTGCTTCCCAGGCAGCACTGACCCAAGATGCCCTAAGCCAACAACTCCTCAACCTCCACGTTGCTTCCCAGGCAGCACTGACCCAAGATGCCCTAAGCCAACAACTCCTGAACCTCCACGTTGCTTCCCAGGTAGCAATGACCCAAGATGTCCCAAACCAACTACTCCAGAGCCACCACGGTGTTTCCCAGGTGCAACTGACCCTAGATGCCCTAAACCTACGACACCACAACCTCCGCAATGCTACCCGGGTTCACCCGATCCCAGATGTCCACAGACACCTCGACCTACAACTATAACACCTCCAACATATTTGCCACCAGTAACTCCTGAATTTAAATGTTTCCCAGGTTCATCCGATCCAAGGTGTCCACAACCAACTACACCAGCACCACCCAACTGTTACCCTGGCAACACTGATCCACGTTGTCCTAAGCCAACAACCCCTGCCCCACCAAGGTGCTTCCCAGGCAGCACTGACCCTAGGTGCCCCAAACCAACGACACCTGAACCACCACGCTGTTTCCCAAGTTCAACTGATCCTAGATGCCCCAAACCAACAACTCCAGCTTCTCCAAACTGTTATCCCGGAAACACAGACCCGCGTTGTCCAAAACCAACAACTCCTGCCCCACCAAGGTGCTTCCCTGGCTCAACAGATCCCAGATGCCCCAAGCCAACAACTCCCGAACCACCTCGGTGTTTCCCAGGTAGCACTGACCTAAGGTGCCCCAAACCTACGACTCCAACGCCACCTAAACCAGTCTGTTACCCGGGTTCACCGGATCCTAAGTGTCCCCAACCACCAAGACCAACAACATTAACTCCCCCCACTTATTTACCTCCAGTGACACCGGCCCTCAAATGCTATCCCGGTTCCACAGATCCTAGATGTCCTAAGCCAACAACTCCCGAGCCACCACGATGCTTCCCAGGATCAACTGATCCCAGATGTCCTAAGCCAACAACACCTGAGCCACTACGTTGCTTCCCAGGATCAACTGATCCAAGATGTCCTAAGCCAACAACTCCCGAACCACCTCGATGCTTCCCAGGCAGCACTGATCCTAGATGTCCTAAGCCAACAACACCCGAGCCACCACGTTGCTTCCCAGGATCAACTGATCCAAGATGTCCTAAGCCAACAACCCCCGAACCACCTCGATGCTTCCCAGGCAGCACTGATCCTAGATGTCCTAAGCCAACAACTCCCGAACCGCCACGATGCTTCCCAGGTTCAACTGATCCAAGATGTCCCAAACCAACGACACCAGCACCTCCCAACTGTTACCCTGGCAACACTGATCCACGTTGTCCAAAGCCAACAACTCCTGCCCCACCAAGGTGCTTCCCAGGCAGCACTGACCCTAGATGTCCCAAACCTACAACTCCTGAACCACCACGCTGCTTCCCAGGATCAACTGATCCTAGATGCCCGCAACCAACAACTCCAGCACCACCAAACTGTTATCCCGGGAACACTGACCCGCGTTGTCCAAAACCAACAACCCCTGCCCCACCAAGGTGCTTCCCAGGAAGCACCGATCCAAGATGCCCAAAGCCAACTACTCCAACATCACCCAAACCAGTCTGCTACCCAGGCTCCCCGGATCCAAAATGTCCCCAACCCCCACGGCCTACAACATTAACTCCACCTACTTATTTGCCACCAGTCACACCGGCACCTAAATGCTATCCCGGTTCCACTGATCCCAGATGTCCTAAGCCAACAACACCCGAGCCACCACGTTGCTTCCCTGGCTCAACTGATCCTAGATGTCCAAAACCAACGACCCCAGCTCCTCCCAACTGCTACCCTGGCAACACTGATCCACGTTGTCCTAAGCCAACAACCCCTGCCCCACCAAGTTGCTTCCCAGGCAGCACTGACCCTAGATGTCCCAAGCCAACGACCCCAGCTCCTCCTAATTGTTACCCTGGTAATACTGATCCACGTTGTCCAAGGCCAACCACCCCTGAACCACCACGATGCTTCCCAGGCAGCACCGATCCAAGATGCCCCAAGCCAACGACTCCTGAACCACCACGTTGCTTCCCAGGTTCAACTGATCCCAGATGCCCTAAGCCAACAACTCCAGCACCACCAAACTGTTATCCAGGAAGCACTGATCCAAGATGTCCCAAACCTACGACTCCGGAGCCACCACGCTGCTTCCCCGGCTCAACAGACCCAAGATGCCCCAAACCAACCACTCCAACACCACCCAAACCAGTCTGTTACCCAGGATCTCCGGACCCTAAATGTCCCCAACCTCCACGGCCAACAACTTTAACTCCTCCTACTTATTTGCCACCAGTTACACCAGCACTTAAATGCTATCCCGGTTCCACTGACCCGAGATGTCCAAAACCAACGACTCCTGCACCACCGAGGTGCTTCCCTGGCTCAACAGACCCAAGATGTCCCAAACCAACGACTCCAGAGCCACCACGCTGTTTCCCAGGTTCATCTGACCCTAGGTGTCCCAAACCAACGACCCCAGCTCCTCCTAACTGTTACCCTGGCAACACTGATCCACGTTGCCCAAAGCCAACAACCCCTGCCCCACCAAGGTGTTTCCCGGGTAGCACTGACCCTAGATGTCCTAAACCAACGACACCAGCTCCTCCCAACTGTTACCCTGGCAACACTGATCCACGTTGTCCTAAGCCAACAACCCCTGCCCCACCTAGGTGCTTCCCAGGAAGCACTGATCCAAGATGCCCCAAACCAACAACTCCAACACCACCCAAACCAGTCTGCTACCCAGGATCCCCGGACCCCAAATGTCCCCAACCTCCACGGCCCACAACATTAACTCCTCCTACCTATTTGCCACCAGTTACACCAGCACCTAAATGCTATCCCGGTTCCACAGATCCTAGATGTCCTAAGCCAACAACTCCCGAGCCACCACGATGCTTCCCAGGATCAACTGATCCCAGATGTCCTAAGCCAACAACACCTGAGCCACTACGTTGCTTCCCAGGATCAACTGATCCAAGATGTCCTAAGCCAACAACTCCCGAACCACCTCGATGCTTCCCAGGCAGCACTGATCCTAGATGTCCTAAGCCAACAACTCCCGAACCGCCACGATGCTTCCCAGGTTCAACTGATCCAAGATGTCCCAAACCAACAACTCCAGCACCACCAAACTGTTATCCCGGGAACACTGACCCGCGTTGTCCAAAACCAACAACCCCTGCCCCACCAAGGTGCTTCCCAGGAAGCACCGATCCAAGATGCCCAAAGCCAACTACTCCAACATCACCCAAACCAGTCTGCTACCCAGGCTCCCCGGATCCAAAATGTCCCCAACCCCCACGGCCTACAACATTAACTCCACCTACTTATTTGCCACCAGTCACACCGGCACCTAAATGCTATCCCGGTTCCACTGATCCCAGATGTCCTAAGCCAACAACACCCGAGCCACCACGTTGCTTCCCTGGCTCAACTGATCCTAGATGTCCAAAACCAACGACCCCAGCTCCTCCCAACTGTTACCCTGGCAACACTGATCCACGTTGTCCAAAGCCAACAACTCCTGCCCCACCAAGGTGCTTCCCAGGCAGCACTGACCCTAGATGTCCCAAACCTACAACTCCAGAACCACCACGCTGCTTCCCAGGTTCAACTGATCCTAGATGCCCCAAACCAACGACCCCAGCTCCTCCTAACTGCTACCCTGGCTCAACTGACCCAAGATGTCCCAAACCAACGACTCCAGAGCCACCACGCTGCTTCCCAGGTTCATCTGATCCTAGATGTCCCAAACCAACGACCCCAGCTCCTCCCAACTGTTACCCTGGCAACACTGATCCACGTTGTCCTAAGCCAACAACCCCTGCCCCACCAAGGTGCTTCCCAGGCAGCACTGACCCTAGGTGTCCCAAACCAACGACACCTGAACCACCACGCTGCTTCCCAGGTTCAGCTGATCCTAGATGCCCTAAACCAACAACTCCAGCACCACCAAACTGTTATCCCGGAAACACAGACCCGCGTTGCCCAAAACCAACAACCCCTGCCCCACCTAGGTGCTTCCCAGGAAGCACTGATCCCAGATGCCCCAAACCAACGACTCCAATACCACCCAAACCAGTCTGCTACCCAGGATCCCCGGACCCTAAATGTCCCCAACCTCCACGGCCAACAACTTTAACTCCGCCTACTTATTTGCCACCAGTCACACCTGCACCTAAATGCTATCCCGGTTCCACTGATCCTAGATGTCCAAAACCAACGACTCCTGCCCCACCGAGGTGCTTCCCAGGTTCAACTGACCCTAGGTGTCCCAAACCAACGACCCCAGCTCCTCCCAACTGTTTCCCTGGCAACACTGATCCACGTTGTCCTAAGCCAACAACCCCTACCCCACCAAGGTGCTTCCCAGGCAGCACTGACCCTAGGTGTCCCAAACCAACGACTCCAGAACCACCACGCTGTTTCCCAGGATCAACTGATCCTAGATGCCCCAAACCAACAACTCCAGCTCCTCCAAACTGTTATCCCGGAAACACAGACCCGCGTTGTCCAAAACCAACAACTCCTGCCCCACCAAGGTGCTTCCCAGGCAGCACTGACCCTAGGTGTCCCAAACCAACGACACCTGAACCACCACGCTGTTTCCCAGGTTCAACTGATCCTAGATGCCCCAAACCAACAACTCCAGCTCCTCCAAACTGTTATCCCGGAAACACAGACCCGCGTTGTCCAAAACCAACAACCCCTGCCCCACCTAGGTGCTTCCCAGGAAGCACTGATCCAAGATGCCCCAAACCAACTACTCCAACACCACCCAAACCAGTCTGCTACCCAGGATCTCCGGACCCTAAATGTCCTCAACCTCCAAGGCCCACAACATTAACTCCACCTACTTATTTGCCACCAGTCACACCGGCACCTAAATGCTATCCTGGTTCCACTGATCCTAGATGTCCTAAGCCAACAACACCCGAGCCACCACGTTGCTTCCCTGGCTCAACTGACCCGAGATGTCCAAAACCAACGACTCCTGCCCCACCGAGGTGCTTCCCTGGCTCAACAGACCCAAGATGTCCCAAACCAACGACTCCAGAGCCACCACGCTGCTTCCCAGGTTCATCTGATCCTAGATGTCCCAAACCAACGACCCCAGCTCCTCCCAACTGTTACCCTGGCAACACTGATCCACGTTGTCCTAAGCCAACAACCCCTGCCCCACCAAGGTGCTTCCCAGGCAGCACTGACCCTAGGTGTCCCAAACCAACGACACCTGAACCACCACGCTGTTTCCCAGGTTCAACTGATCCTAGATGCCCCAAACCAACAACTCCAGCTCCTCCAAACTGTTATCCCGGAAACACAGACCCGCGTTGTCCAAAACCAACAACCCCTGCCCCACCAAGGTGCTTCCCAGGCAGCACTGACCCTAGGTGCCCCAAACCAACGACACCTGAACCACCACGCTGTTTCCCAGGTTCAACTGATCCTAGATGCCCCAAACCAACAACTCCAACACCACCCAAACCAGTTTGCTACCCAGGATCTCCGGACCCTAAATGTCCCCAACCTCCACGGCCCACAACATTAACTCCTCCTACTTATTTGCCACCAGTTACACCAGCACCTAAATGCTATCCTGGTTCCACTGATCCTAGATGTCCCAAGCCAACAACACCCGAGCCACCACGTTGCTTCCCTGGCTCAACTGACCCGAGATGTCCAAAACCAACGACTCCTGCCCCACTACGTTGCTTCCCTGGCTCAACTGACCCGAGATGTCCAAAACCAACGACTCCTGCCCCACCGAGGTGCTTCCCTGGCTCAACAGACCCAAGATGTCCCAAACCAACGACTCCAGAGCCACTACGCTGCTTCCCAGGTTCAACTGATCCTAGATGTCCAAAACCAACAACCCCAGCTCCTCCCAACTGCTACCCTGGCAACACTGATCCACGTTGTCCCAAACCAACGACTCCAGAACCACCACGCTGTTTCCCGGGTTCAACTGATCCTAGATGCCCCAAACCAACAACTCCAGCTCCTCCAAATTGTTATCCCGGAAACACAGACCCGCGTTGTCCAAAACCAACAACCCCTGCCCCACCAAGGTGCTTCCCAGGCAGCACTGACCCTAGGTGCCCCAAACCAACGACACCTGAACCACCACGCTGTTTCCCAGGTTCAACTGATCCTAGATGCCCCAAACCAACTACTCCAACACCACCCAAACCAGTCTGCTACCCAGGATCTCCGGACCCTAAATGTCCCCAACCTCCACGGCCCACAACATTAACTCCTCCTACTTATTTGCCACCAGTTACACCAGCACCTAAATGCTATCCTGGTTCCACTGATCCTAGATGTCCCAAGCCAACAACACCCGAGCCACCACGTTGCTTCCCTGGCTCAACTGACCCGAGATGTCCAAAACCAACGACTCCTGCCCCACCGAGGTGCTTCCCTGGCTCAACAGACCCAAGATGTCCCAAACCAACGACTCCAGAGCCACCACGCTGCTTCCCAGGCAGCACTGACCCTAGATGCCCCAAACCAACAACTCCAGCTCCTCCAAACTGTTATCCCGGAAACACAGACCCGCGTTGTCCAAAACCTACAACTCCTGAACCACCACGCTGCTTCCCAGGGTCAAGTGATCCTAGATGTCCAAAACCGACCACACCTGAGCCGCCTCGTTGTTTCCCTGGATCAACTGATCCTAGATGTCCAAAACCGACCACACCTGAGCCGCCTCGTTGTTTCCCTGGATCAACTGACCCCAGATGTCCCAAGCCAACGACCCCTGAACCGCCACGTTGCTACCCTGGGTCAACTGACCCCAGATGTCCCAAGCCCACGACTCCTGAACCGCCACGTTGCTACCCTGGATCAACTGACCCCAGATGTCCCAAGCCAACGACTCCTGAACCTCCACGATGCTACCCTGGTTCACCTGATCCTAGATGTCCACAACCACCACGACCTACAACATTAACACCTCCAACATATTTGCCACCTGTGACACCTGGATTTAAATGCTATCCAGGATCAACCGACCCTAGGTGTCCACAACCGACTACCCAACCTCCTCCGAGATGCTTCCCAGGTAGTTCTGATCCCAGATGTCCCAAGCCAACTACTCCTGAACCGCCACGTTGCTACCCTGGATCAACTGACCCCAGATGTCCCAAGCCAACGACTCCTGAACCGCCACGTTGCTACCCTGGATCAACTGACCCCAGATGTCCCAAGCCAACGACTCCTGAACCGCCACGTTGCTACCCTGGATCAACTGACCCCAGATGTCCCAAGCCAACGACTCCAGAACCGCCACGTTGCTATCCTGGATCAACTGACCCTAGATGTCCCAAGCCAACGACTCCTGAACCGCCACGTTGCTACCCTGGATCAACTGACCCTAGATGTCCCAAGCCAACGACTCCAGAACCTCCACGTTGCTATCCTGGATCAACTGACCCTAGATGTCCCAAGCCAACGACTCCTGAACCGCTACGTTGCTACCCTGGCTCGACTGATCCAAGGTGTCCCAAGCCAGAGCCCTCAACCCCAAGCTCTTGTTACCCAGGATCTAGAGATCCAAAATGCCCACAACCGTTTGCGCCAGCTAGCACTAACCCACCTTCAACATATTTGCCACCGTTCCCAGAAGAAAATGAAATTAAATCTTCTAGGGTAAGCAGATTAGTACCGAAGGACTTTGAAGACGACAAGTACAGCGATTATATAGGTATGTGTAAAAAAACGTGTGTTTTTTGTCATTGTTGTGTTCATTTAATCACTAAAAGTAGTACATTTTTCTTAAAATGGAATAAAAATGGTTATACATTCCTTTTAATAAATATTATTATAAATGTCGATTCACGTAGCGTTCATGCTAAATTTATCTCGTTCCGAAAAAAAAATATAAAATTATATTATATCTTGCAACTCTCGTCACTCGAGATAGATGGCGCTACTACGAATTGTAAATATAGCAGAGTTATTGATGAGTTGCGCGTGTTGCGTAATAAATTCTCTCTATATATATATTTAATACAACAATAACAACATTTTCCCAAATATCTTATCTGAGACTGAAATCTGCCATTGACGTGTATTTTAATTTATTAATTTTCATTTCACAGATTCGTTTGATTTCAAACGAACAGAACCAAGATCAAGAAAAGTGCGTGACATAAGTGGTAGCAGCGAAAGTGCCACGCTAGCTACTAGTGGTACTGCCATCATATACGTTGCCATGGGATCAGCTGTACTAATGATTATGTCAATCACACTGGCCATCTACATGTACAAAAATAACAGGAAAAATAATCTAAGCACTGCATCCGTAAAATCAACCGTGCAAAGCCCTTGTTAATATGTAAATAACTGTCTTGTAAAAATTTGATATTGTGATATTTTAATTTTTAATTTTTATCAGCTACTTGATGCATTCCAACTTTATTTTTTTATTAATGGCTGCTTAATATGAATAGTTTGTTTTGTGTAACGTAACGTCACTGCCTAATAAGCTTTATCTTAATACTTCATGCGCTAGGCATGCCTATTTTGTTCACTATATAAAATAGTGCCATAATATATTACAATATATAGTGTCTTCTGCAATGCATCCTCAATCTTTAAATGTATATTATATCCCTAGTCAATATTTTGTATATATAAAACATTTTTGCACTCCTGTGTGTTTTTCAAAAATTACTCATTTTTTTATAAAGAAATAAATATACTCATTTGTGATATTTTTTTTCGTGTAAATACATATTGTTTATACCAGTATGCTGATGTGGCCATTTGAATTAATATTATAGTGTGTATTATGTTTAAATTTTAATGTAAGATGACTTGAGTACATTCTGTGTGACATTGAGTTCACTATAAATGAGACCAATTTTCGAAAACGAATCACAATGATTTTGTTTCTTAATACAGAATGCACTCACGGAACATTATTTTCAACGATTTTGTAATGTTTAGTACCTAAGATTGCTTGTCGAGTCAATCTAAGTAAAACATTCTATGAATGTCAAAAAATATTGTTTTATTTCAATCTACCATTATATTTCCTATAGAACATTTTTTTTGTGAGGGGAAAATCATCAAATGACTTCTCCTGCCCAGGGTCGGGAGGGAGGGAGTGTGAGACTCTTACTGACTAAAAACCCCCCTGTTCCTTCTCCTGCTCTGGGCCGAGGTCGCGGTGCCTCATTGCGCTTACCCCGCAACCCCGGCTGAACATCAGCCCTATGGGGCCCCGTCTGTGGTGGTCTATTGGCTCTTTGAGGCGCGCGCGGAACACTACACGCCGTACGCTCGGGTCTGGTTCTGGTGGGGCGGCGAGCTGAGATTGCTTGTCGAGTCAATCTAAGTAAAACATTCTATGAATGTCAAAAAATATAGTTTTATTTCAATTTTCCATTAGAATATATTTCCTATTGAACAATGGAGTGTGTCTTTCTAGGCATTAGTGCAATATCGCCATAATAGTACTTTTAATACACGTTCAGATTATGTAAATAAAAACTATGATCGATATCATTATCATCAGTCCATAAGTGCCCACTTCTGAGCAAAGGCCTCTTCTCTCACGGAGAAGGTTTAAAGCATTAATCACCACCCAAGCTCAATGAGGGTTGGCGGCTTCAAACTTATACTTAATTGGAAATTATAAGTCAAGGTTTCCTCACGATGTTTACCTTCACCAGTCATCATCAATAGCCTATAAGTGCCCACTTCTGAGCAAAGGCCTCTTCTCTCACGGAGAAGGTTTAAAGCATTAATCACCACCCATGTTCAATGCGGGTTGGCGGCTTCAAACTTATAATTAGAAATTATAACTCCAGGTTTCCTCACGATGTTTACCTTTACCAGTCAGTGGTGTCTAAATAATCATAGAAAGTATATATAACTCGGAAAAAGTCATATTGGTACTTGTCAGGTTATGAACCCACATCCTCGGGGTCACCTGGACCGATATGATCGATAATTAGTAACTGGCAATCAATTACAATTAAATTGAAACATAAAGAAAAAATAAAATATTCGAATGTAAAAAGATGTGTTATATTAACACATCTTTTTACATTCGAATATTTCTTGAATAAACGACATAATTTAAAAAATTAAAACAAAGCTATTTATTTAAAATCATTTTATTTACATTATTTTTATTATCATACATATCAAGAACGGTAACTTAATGAACTCAAGAAGTCCTGACAGCCATGTAAAATAAAATTTAGTTTACAATTATAAATTAATCCTACCAAGTACAATCTAAATTGGTCGTATTTATAAAATAATAATAATCAAACAATTTAATTAAATCCCTAATTACATAAAGTCTAGACACAATGTTGCATATCAAACTTATACAAGTATGAACTCCACTGGAAATATTACAATAAATGACTAAAATTCAAAAACTGCAAACAATTATATTACAATTATTATGTTTAAAAATTTTCTCACGTACCTAAATATTTGACGAAGCAACTCGATTACTTTCAAGTTAATTTAGGGGCTCATATTAATTCACGATATACCAATTCAAATTCAAATGGATCATTTTCTATTTGGGCAATACACGAAACAAAATTTAAATTTATTACTTTGGACCGTAACGACCATTGACTGTACACTTCCGCAAGTAAAACATAATGTTACGTGCCTGACGTCACGTTCCTGACTATGCGGGCTTGGGTTACGGGATTGGATGAAATGAAACACTAATACCGGTTTTCAGACTTTCTATTGCACTTAAGTTACAGCGTCCACGGAGTTAAGTTTTCGGCGTTCTTCTCCAGCAGAGTCCGGCCGACTGACACAACTTTGCCGTTCACGCTGACTTAACTCACTTAACTGACTGCACTTCACTATTTCACTGCACTTCACTATTTCACTCACTTTTCTTCTTTTCCACTTCTTCCTTTTCTTCCGAATCGCTTTAGACTTAGAACTCAACTGCCAGCGGTGAGCCGCAGTTCCGCTTATATACCCCCGGTCAGGTTCTAGAACATTCAATTTCGTTATTCTTTTTGATCGTCATGCCTCCAGAACCTTCCAATAATTTCGTTATTCATTTTTATTATTCTCCTTCTCGCTCCTTAATTTTTCATTTCTTTCACTCAAATAATTCCAGAAAGTTCGACAAAACTTCCATCAACTAAAAAACTTCATGTTTACGGCGGGACTCGAACTCGGGGTCTCTGTGGTGTAATCCACACGCCTTACCGATTACACCAACTCGTGTTGACAATTCACGACGAAATTTACAATCTCTAGGCAACGTTTGACAACCATCCCTTGACGTCATGATGTCAAAGAGTTTTCCGTCACACTGCCCCCCTCTTAGATTCGCTCGTCCCGAGCATCGTTGCTGCCGTAATACCTCGCCAACCTGTCTATATGGACAACTTTCAAAGGGCTCCTTGAAGTCTTCCGAATTCTGTAAGTAATGTCATTGATCTTCGTGACTATCTCATAAGGACCTTCCCAACTCGGTTGCAGCTTCGGAGATTTTCCCTTCCTTCTGACTGGATTATGAAGCCAGACCAATGACCCTTCTTCAAACCCAACAGAATTGGCTCGTCGATCATAGCGCGTCTTTGCGCGATCACTAGCTTGAAGACCGGCTTCCCTGATCTGCTCATAAATGTCCAACATTTTTGCCCTTAACTCGCTTATGTAATCGCTAAATTCTGTGCGAGAGTCGCCAGGTGGACAGCCCGATACAAGATCTGCCGGTAATCTCAATTCCCTTCCAAAATTTGCAAATGCAGGCGTCTTTGCGGTACTTTCATGTACAGCAGTCCGATAGGCAAGCAAGAAGAGAGGTATGTAAGTGTCCCAATCTCTCTGATGGCTGTCAACCACCTTTGCTAAGTGTCGTTCCAATGTTTGGTTGAAACGTTCGACCATTCCATCTGACTGTGGATGATAAGGAGTCGTTCGAGTCTTATGGATTCCCAAAAGTTTACAAGTTTCCTGAAAAACTTGGGACTCAAAGTTCCGTCCTTGATCACTGTGCATCTCCAAGGGCACTCCGAATCGGGTGAATACCTCGTTTACCAACTTCGTAGCTACAGTTACTGCCTCTTGATTCGGTATGGCAAAGACCTCCGGCCATTTTGTAAAATAATCCATAACCACTAAACGTAGCGATTGCCCGAATCAGTGATTGGAAATGGTCCAGCGATGTCTAAGGCTATTCTCTCCCAAGGCATACCAACATTGTAGATTTTCATCGCCCCTCTGCTTCTTGTTTGTGGACCCTTGACAGCTGCACAATTAGTGCATTTCCGGCACCAATCTTCGACGTCATATTTGCAATGCAACCAATAAAACCTGTCCTTGATCTTCACCAAAGTCCTCCTAATTCCCAAATGTCCTCCAGAAGATCCATCATGGAACGCTTTTAATACATCCCTTATTTTTGAACGAGGCACCACCAATTGCAAATGCTCGTCCTTGCCGTTTGTTGATTCCCATTTCCTGCACAGAAGTCCGTTATGAAGCGTAAGGCTTTTCCACTGTGCCCATAAACCTTTCGTTACCGCGCTATATTGGGCGACGTCACTCCAACTTGGCTTGTTACCACTTCGTAGCCACTCCAGTATTGGTTTGATATCCGCATCTCTTTCCTGTTCTAATTTCATCGCATCATCTCCCCATGCCTCGTCAACAGTATCAGTCCTTATCACCTTAAGAAAAGCAATTTCCTTCTTGGCACAATGCTTGCAATCTTCCACGCATGGGCGTCTCGATAATGCATCTGCGTTGCCATGAATTCTTCCGCCGCGATGTTCGATTTCAAAGTCAAATTCCTGAAGTTGTTCCAACCATCTGGCTACTTGGCCTTCAGGATCCTTAAACTGAAGCAGCCATTTCAAAGCAGCGTGATCAGTTCTGATTAAACATTTCCGTCCCAGTAAATACTTCTTGAAATGGTGCAGAGTTTTGACTACGGCCAGTAATTCCCTCCTGGTCACGCAATAATTCCTCTCCGGCTTGGATAGTGACTTGCTGAAGTAAGCAATAACCTTCTCCTGCTCACCATCGCGTTGTGAAAGGACACCTCCTATTCCGATATTACTGGCGTCCGTATCAACTACGAATATTCCTTTCGCGCTGGGGTATCCGAGAATTGGCATTTAACAAAGCCGTTCTTTTAGTTCGCGAAAGGCTTGCTCACAATCCTCGTCCCATATAAAGGCACGTTTCTCCTCTGTCAATCGATGCAATGGCTTGGCAATGTCCGAGAATCCTTTCACAAACCGCCGATAATACGAGCACAATCCAAGAAATGCCCGAACTTGCGTTTTGTCTTTAGGTGTTGGCCATTCCTTAACAGCGGCAGTCTTGGCTGGATCAGTCTCAATTCCTCTCTCAGAAATAACATGTCCTAGATAATTCACTTCGCGCTTAAAGAAAGAGCATTTCTTTGGACTCAACTTTAAATTTGCTCCACGCAGCTTTTCGAGTACCCTTTCCAATTTTCTTAGATGATCGTCAAAATCCCTTCCAACGATGATGATGTCATCGAGGTAAACTAGGCAGGTTTCGCCCAGCAGTCCCGCCAGCACCTGTTCCATCAAACGCTCAAAGGTTGCCGGTGCATTGCATAATCCAAATGGCATCACCTTAAATTGCCAGAGTCCCTTCCCAGTTGAGAATGCGGTCTTTTCCTTGTCCTTGGGATCCAAATCCACCTGCCAATAGCCGCTTTTCAGATCGAGCGTTGAAAACCATTTCATGCCACTCAGTGTGTCAAGTGTGTCATCGATTCTTGGTAACGGGTAGCTATCCTTCTTGGTTACATCATTCAATCGTCGATAGTCTACGCAAAACCTCGTTGAACCATCTTTCTTCTTGACAAGCACGACAGGTGAACACCAAGGGCTAGAAGAGGGCTCTATCACGTCATTTTTCCTCATATCGTCAATCATTTGTTCAACCTCTTTCTCACGAGCGAATGGTATACGTCTGGGCCTTTGACGAATTGGCATTGTATCACCTGTATTTATTTTATGCTTCACCAAACCAGTTCGGCCAATATCACCATCGCTTCTTGAAAACACATCAGAGAATCGAAGGAGTAAATTTCTAGCTTTCATAGTCTCCACTTTTGTCAGACTTTTGTTTTCGTCTAAGATTTTCGTTACAAAGTCTATTCCCGTACTGTCCTTCTTCACAAGATTCTCCGAGCATTTTCTTATCCAGGCCACTTCTTCCAAAACGCCCACAGGCTCTCCTTCTTCAATCGTAATGTTTGAATCACTGAAGTTGAATACCGGAATGCGGTTGACATCAGATGACCCCACGACAGTCCTTGCCGGTAGCCATGAGTTTACGTGTTCCGATTTATCAATCACAGCGCACCTTCGAGGTAAACTTCCTTCAATCCTCCTAGGTAATGCGATTGGTACGAGAGTCTGTGATTTTGGTTCAAGAACAGTTCTTCTTAAACAGCAAACTTTTCCCAGGGTTCCACCCTTCATCGGAATTTCCTCAGTTCCACATAGTAATACTCCAGATTTTAAGTCGATGTTACACTGGTGCCCTTGCAGGAAGTCAAGTCCCAGGATGCAGTCATCCAGAATTTTGGCCACAATAACCTCATGTCGATAAACACGTTCCCCAATTTTGATTGTTACATGCAGTTTTCCACTTATCGGTATGCACTGGCCGGTAGCTGATTTCATTCGTAGGCCAACAATTGGTTTAACGTGTTTCCTGATGTTTTGCCCGAGCAGCCGAACATTTATCACCGTCCTTGAAGCTCCAGTATCTAATGTTAGATGACTGTTTTTCCCATTTACTTGACCGTCTATCACCAGAGTATTTCCATCGTTAGTTTGCTTGATGTAGATTGTTGGGGTTATTCCACTACCGGCCAGCGCCCACCCCGCAGCCCTGGCTGGATTTAGTTTCCCTGCTGGTCAGAAGTTGAGACCGCCGCGTCCTGGCGGTTCACCTTCTTCGGGCAGTCGCTCCGCATGTGCCCACGCTCTCCGCATCCATAGCACATGAAGTTCCGACGGCGTGGAGGTACCTGCTCCGTTGTCGTCATTTCCCGCAGACGTAAGGTACGGGAGTTACCACGCACAGCTTCCACTTCCAATGCATGGGCCAGAGCTTCTTTCATGTTCTTGTGATGGCCCAGATGAACAGCAGCTCGTACTTCGGTGTCCCGAATACCGTCAATGAACGCTTGGAGAAGCGTGCCTTCAATCATTGACGGAGTCGACCGGAAAGCTCGACGCACAAGTTTCTCGATTTCCACGGACCATTGCTGTAGACTCTCGTTAGCACGCTGAGTACGCTCTTTTAATTGCGCTCTGTACACGTGTTCGAGGTGGCTGTCTCCAAAACGTGCCTCAAGTGCGTCGAGGAGGGCACTTAAGCTGAGATCCCCACTTGCGCCGATAGCTTCCAGCACTGAGAGCGCTTGATCACGGAGGGCCAGGGTGAGGGCTGACTGTGCTTCCTTCTGAGTCCAACCATAAGCCTCCATAAGTGTCTCAAACTGTAGCTTGAACGCGTTCCAGGATGTTGTTCCGTCGTAATGGGGAATCTTGAGCCCTTTCGTTGCGCTTGAGGCCACATTTGGGGCTTCAAAAACGGCTGCAAGACGGCTTCGGCTCTTCAAAGGGCTTGGGCTTGTCACTTCCTGCTTGATTTTGGAGATCTCTTCTTTCACTCTCTCCTCTATCGCCATGACGCGATGTTCCAACTTGCCTAACCCTTCCTCCACTTCTTGTACCCGTTCGACAGCCTTTTGCAGTCCCTTCGTGAAATCCTTATGCATCTCTTCCAAGCGACGCGCTTGCTCCTCTTGGCGGCGAGCTTGATCCTCTTGGCGACGAGCTTGATCTTCTTTCAGCTCCCGTAGCTGTTCCGCCTGACAGCGTGCTTGCTCTTCTTGGCGGCGCGCTTGCTCTTCTTGGCGGCGCGCTTGCTCTTCTTTCAGCTCCCGCAGCTGTTCTGCCTGACAGTGCGCTTGCACTTCTTGGCGGCGCGCTTGCTCTTCTTTCAGCTCCCGCAGCTGTTCTGCCTGACAGCGCGCTTGCTCTTCTTGGCGGCGCGCTTGCTCTGCCATCATTTGCTGCAGCTGTAGCAGAAGATCCACCTGCACAGGCTTGGCTTCTGCATCGCTGGTTTGAGCTGCAGCACCCTCTTCCCTCACACGCTGCGCTTCTGACATTGCACGGGTACTCACTCCTCTTACGTCCTGCGGCACTAGCGGCATTTTTCTCCAATCCCACTTCTGACACCAAATGTTACGTGCCTGACGTCACGTTCCTGACTATGCGGGCTTGGGTTACGGGATTGGATGAAATGAAACACTAATACCGGTTTTCAGACTTTCTATTGCACTTAAGTTACAGCGTCCACGGAGTTAAGTTTTCGGCGTTCTTCTCCAGCAGAGTCCGGCCGACTGACACAACTTTGCCGTTCACGCTGACTTAACTCACTTAACTGACTGCACTTCACTATTTCACTGCACTTCACTATTTCACTCACTTTTCTTCTTTTCCACTTCTTCCTTTTCTTCCGAATCGCTTTAGACTTAGAACTCAACTGCCAGCGGTGAGCCGCAGTTCCGCTTATATACCCCCGGTCAGGTTCTAGAACATTCAATTTCGTTATTCTTTTTGATCGTCATGCCTCCAGAACCTTCCAATAATTTCGTTATTCATTTTTATTATTCTCCTTCTCGCTCCTTAATTTTTCATTTCTTTCACTCAAATAATTCCAGAAAGTTCGACAAAACTTCCATCAACTAAAAAACTTCATGTTTACGGCGGGACTCGAACTCGGGGTCTCTGTGGTGTAATCCACACGCCTTACCGATTACACCAACTCGTGTTGACAATTCACGACGAAATTTACAATCTCTAGGCAACGTTTGACAACCATCCCTTGACGTCATGATGTCAAAGAGTTTTCCGTCACAATAATTAATACTTAAATAGTTTATTTTCGCCCATGATTTTCTACAACTACACATAGTAACTTAATTATTGAGCGTATAGTCTAGTCCTTCTTCAAGCGTCCCTAGACTAACGGAATGCTAGAACTAAAAAGGTTTAAGTGGTAATTCTACCGATCTGTAAGTTTTATTCGGATAGGTCCATTCGGTGTGTACATTGGATGAATATGGTAGTCCATTGGTTCGTGGTTATACTCCATTTTGAAGGCTTGTATCATCTGAAAACATGGAAAAAAAAACTTTATTTAAGGTTTAGTTGTAGGTTGTAGGTAGGTTGTTGTTGTAGGAGGATTGAATATTGATTTTATGATATTAAAACTTAACATTTCGTTCCTGTATTCACTCAAGAATAACTTATTTTAAATTTTTGTAGGTGGCCATTCCTAACATAAGACACAATTATTTATTATTAAGATCGATACAGGGACCGCTTATGAATTGTAGCACGAATAAAAACAACGGTCAAGAAGTCCTTCAGGCTTCCTCAATCCCCAAAAAGCTGGCTGCTTTGCCACGACTTCTCTGATATGTATTACAGATGTAGTACATATATTGTAGATGTCCATGGGCGGTGCCGATTCCTTACCTTCATCAATATACCTTTTACCTTTATCCATAAAAAATAGGCTATTTGCTACTGTTATTTACCTTACAAATGACTGTATGTATTTCTAATTCAGCGAATCTTCTGCCAAGACACATTCGCTTGCCGTAACCAAACGGTAAAGAGGCGAAAGCGTGATGTTTCTGCGTTGGAGATCTGGTCATCCACCTCTCTGGTTTGAACTCCGACGCGTTGTAGAAGTAATCATCGCTGTTCCCCATCACGTAGTGTTGAAATATTACTTGAGTCTGTGAATTTTAGGAAGAAATGGTTCTTATTGGGTTTACAAAGCGTAAAACCTTCAGCGGGAGGAAACGCCCGAGTGTCGTCATTGTGAGGACCACCTAGAGGATACGGTGGAGCATACGGTAGCGGTATGCCCTGCCTGGGCTGAGCACCGCCGTATCCTCAGGGAAGTGATCGGCGGCGGCGACCTCTCGCGCCCGGCCTTAGTCGAGGCCATGGTGCGGAGTGAGAGGAACTGGGACGCCGTCTCCTCCTTTTGTGAAGCAGTCATGCTCGCAAAGAGAGAGGCGGCCCGCGTGAGGGAGCAATCCTCCTCCTCACGCCCCAGCAGCCGCAACTGGCGACACTACAGGCGTCGGGGATCGAGGGACGATCTCCGGCCACCGTAAGTACGGGCCTGCGGTCGGCGAGTAAGGGCAGCTCGCCGCCCGACCAGAACCAGGCCCGAGCGTACGGCGCGTAGCGTTCCGCGCGCGCCTCAAAGAGCCAATAGACCACCACAGACGGGGCCCTAAAGGGCTGATGTTCAGCCGGGGTTGCGGGGTAAGCGCAATGAGGTACCGCGACCTCGGCACAGAGCAGGAGAAGGAACAGGGGGGTTTTTAGTCAGTAAGAGTCTGACACTCCCTCCTGCCCGGCCCTGGGCGGGAGAGGTCATTTGATGATTTTCCCCTCACAAAAAAGAAAAAAAAAAAAAAAAAAAGCGTAAAACCTTTTTTATGGGGCAAGCCCGCCTCATCCTCCCAAAACCACTGTAACTCCTGTAAGCCAGGATCTACAGTAGATACAACCATGAAAACACCGAAACACTTAAGTCCTAGGGACATGAATGATTGTCTTAGATCCCGCAACGAAATAAATCAGAAGACATTATTTGAGGAGAAGAAAAAACTAAATAGTTTCCATTTCCCTCGGTAAATTTAAAGCAGGAAACTAAGAATGACTAAGACCTTAAAGGCACAGAAGAGACTGTACAACTGGGAAAAGCCCAGTCACCAAACATCGTAAAACATTATGTTAATGGTCGGTTATCCAGTTATGGGAAAGATAAGACAGTTTCAAAAGATGCCCTTACAGTCAATAGCATTTCTGTGTACTAATACCAAGTTTTAATAGTTTTCATGACTTTTGACTTGAAAATTTGTATGAAAATGATGCGACTTTTCATGCAAATTCATGTTTTATTCACTCACCCCTTTAGGTATGTTATATCCACAAATTACTGTATCTTTAGTCAGCTGTCGGCCATTACCGATGACAACAGGGTACATCCTGAAAATGAAAATTATTCTTATATTTATTTTGTTACACCAATTCTAACAATAATGTCTGTGTGAGATGGAGAAGGTAGTCATTACCTCCTCTGATGTAGCCAATGCAGCCTGTTCGGTCCCCAATTGGAAATCACCGGGGCCGGATGGACTGCATAACTTTTGGCTGAAATCGTTCTCCAGTTCACACGATCGCTTAGCGTCGCAGTTTCAGACGGCCTTAGAAGCTGGATCGTTGCCTCAGTTTCTGACTACAGGAATTACCCACCTGCTCCATAAATCAGGTAGTTACACTGAACCCAAAAATTATAGACCGATTACGTGTTTACCAACGGTCTATAAACTTTTTACATCCATTTTGAGAGCAAAAATAACAAAACATATAGAAAAAAATTCCATCATGTCTGTCTCTCAGAATGGATGTAGAAAGGGGTCACGTGGAACTAAGGAGCTACTCCTCATTGATATGGTCATTAGCCAGCAGGTTCGTCGATCTCGAAAGGATTTGTCTACATGCTGGATAGATTATAAAAAGGCTTATGACTCCGTACCACATACATGGCTTATGAGGGTGCTGGAGTTGTATAAAATTAATACAACTCTGCCCACCTTCTTACAGTCATGTATGAGGCAGTGGAGCACGGTGCTTTCCTATCCAGGATGTAAGCAAATCCAAAGGAGTGAAGAACCTGTAAGGATAGTGCGAGGAATATTCCAGGGTGATAGTCTGAGCCCACTGTGGTTCTGCTTGGCCTTGAATCCTCTCAGTACTTTACTTGAGGCTTCAGGGCTGGGCTATCGTTTGCGGAGAAAAGGTCACGTTATTTCCCACTTACTTTACATGGATGACCTCAAGTTGTTTGCACCAAACAAGGAGGAGCTGATGGAACTACTAAAAATAACAAAAAATTTTAGTAGTTCCATCAGAATGGAGTTTGGTGTTGATAAGTGTGCGGTCATGCATGTAAAGCGAGGCGGTATAGTGGAATCTGAAAGCCTAGAGCTGTCAGATTTCACAAAACTGAGATCACTCTCCGCAAATGATACCTACAAGTATTTGGGTATGTCGGAAGGATTGGGTATTAATGGGCCGCACATGAAACAATCCTTACAGGAGCGCTTCTTTGGCCGCCTGAATAAGGTACTGAAAAGTTCGTTATCAGGCGGCAACAAGGTGCGAGCCTTTAACGGTTGGGTCATGCCGGTCCTGATGTATTCTTTTGGCATACTCAAATGGACTCAGACTGAACTTGACACCCTGGATAGACGAGTCCGGACCCTGCTGACTGCAAATCGAATGCATCACCCTCGTTCATCAGTCATGAGGTTGTACATCCCGCGGAAGCGTGGGGGTCGAGGCTTTCTAAACGCTAAGACCCTTCACAACCGTGAGGTGTGCAATCTCAGAGAACATTTCCTGAAAGTGGACGAGGATATGCATCGAGAAGTAGTCACAGTGGACAAGGGATTCACACCACTATCCTTGGCTAAAGAGAACTGGTGCAAACCCGTAGTACTGAGCGTCAATGACCGCAAGACGGTATGGAGTAGCAAGGAGCTTCACGGACGCTTTTTCCGGGCTCTCCACGGGCCCGATGTAGATTTCCTAGCGTCCGTAGCTTGGCTACGATTCAGTAACCTCTTCGGAGAAACTGAAGGATTTGTATGTGCAATTATGGACGAAGTTATCCTCACGAATAACTACCGGAAATATATTATGAAGGATGGGACGGTTGACATATGTCGGGCATGTCATAGCCCCGGTGAATCCATCAGACATATTATTTCCGGCTGTGGTCGTTTGGCTAATGGCGAATACTTGCACAGACATAATCAGGTGGCCAAGATTATTCATCAGCAACTTGCTTTGAAATACCGGCTTGTTGCGTCTGAGGTTCCGTACTACAAGTATGTGCCCGACCCAGTTCTCGAAAAAGACCATATCACATTGTACTGGGATCGGTCTATCATCACAGACAGGACTATTGTAGCCAATAAGCCTGACATAGTGTCGGTAGACCGACTAGCGCGTCGCACGACGATAATCGATGTTGCCATTCCTCATGACGAGAACCTCGTGAAAGCTGAGAAAGATAAACAATTGAAATATCTTGACTTAGCTCACGAGGTTGTTGACATGTGGAGTGTGGACTCGGCTATCGTTGTGCCGATAGTTGTGTCGGCAAATGGGTTAGTCCCCAAAAGCCTCGACAACCACCTTAAGAGGCTGACGTTAGGCGGATGGATCAAGGGCCTCATACAGAAGGCAGTCCTCCTTGAAACGGCACGTATTGTGAGGAGGTTCCTGTCTTTGGAGCCCTAACTGCCGGTAGCTTGGACCTTGCTCCCGCTGCCGGCTGGCACCTACTTTTATATTTTTAAATATTATTTTATTTTATTTTATAGTAATATTTAAAAATGTAATTTTAGAGTAATTTTATTAAATATATGGAATGTCTGTGTATGTAATGTATATTATGCTCTTTTTAGTCATGTTATTAGCAAAGAAACCAGCACTTATATTTGTTTTCGTACATTGTACCCTCATTCTAATGATATGATATATAATAATGTCGTGGGTGCCTGAAGGTTAAGCCCGCTTCTCATGCTGGGCAAGTACCAACGTGAGTTATTCTGCGTATAATATGTACTTTCTAGGTTTATTTAGACACCACTGAAATAGTGTTAAGAAAAACATCGTGAGGACACCGACATATGATTTCTAATTATAAGTTTGAAATCGCTAATCCGCCTTGAGCAAGCGTGATGATTAATACTCAAACATTCTCCGTGTGAGAAGACCTTTGCTCAGCAGTGGGCACTTATAGGACGATGATGATGTACTTATACACAAAATTTGAGTACAGGTCACTAACCTCATAACTTCTTTAACACACGCCTTCAGATAAGGCATTTGATTAACGTCGCCTGGCTTCATTGGTCTGTTCTGAAGAACTTTAGTAATTTCTTCGTACAACCGCTCTTGTACCGAAGGCCGTAAAGATAGCTGATATAGAATTGAAGCTACCGCGTTTGATGTCTGTAAGTCAAAATTGAAGTGTCCTTAGTACAAATAGATTTAGGTACAATATTATGTAAATGAAATTATATAATTAAAGTTTAGGTATGGAAACGTTAAAGTGTAAGCAGTTCAAACCAATAGATTGGTACATTTAAGTTCAGTTTGTCTCTGCATCACCCAAACATATTTCAAATTGAGAATATTTCATTCAAACTCTAGGTAAATAAACATATACGACTTATTTGTTTCTCATAGCCAATGACATTAGGCAAGCGATGATTAATTAAATCAATGAATAATGAATTTTAATTCGTAATGAAATAGCGAATATTTATTATAATTTAAAAAAAAAAACAAATTTTATCACGTGTGACTAACACGAGTGAGCGACTGTCAAACTTTTAACTGCTTTATATTCTAAACCGTTGAATTGCTATTATATTTTTATAAGGCTCAAACAAGTTATGGCGCCTTATAAATATGACATAAGTATTGGAAAATTCTCATAAAACTTAAAATAATAGAATTAATTAAAGCACATTGAAATCTTTATTGATGTAAACTTTACTAAAAGAATCAGGACCTAAAATGTATTTGGTCATAAATTGAATTGTTAATTATGTATTTACTCACCGTGTCAATTCCTACTAAGAACAGGTCAAGTGCTGCTACTGCTGCTACTCTTGGCCCAGCAGCTGTCACGAGGTCCTGCAGCAGTGACTTGCTACCGCCATTAGCTTCGATTTCCTTCAGCGCTTTCTCCACGTGACTGAGAGTTACGCTGCGAAGAGTTCAGAGACGCCTTTTCATAACATTATTTTATTTTAAAAAACCTTACACCTCCAAAACTATATACTGTAAAAAATTTCAAAAATAGTTATAAAATATAACAAATATTCGGAATAGAACATAAGTCTTACCGATTATTTCGACCAATCAACTCATGTAACAATATTTTTTGTTTTTAGCTTTTCTCATTAACTGGAAGATGCCACCTGACATTTAATTTTGGATGCATTTCCAATAACTTTAAATTTTAACCTATAACCTCTAAATAAATAAATAAGCCTTTTATTTCTCGCTTTTTACAAAGTTTTTAGTTACAAGTTTTGTGAATAATTAAGAAACAAAAATATGATGTTACAAAGTTATGTGAATAATTAAAAAAATATGAATGTAAGTATTAGGTATATGTAACATAGACATACATTTTTTTTTAATAATAAGTTATAGTGAGTGTTTGTCCGCAAGAACCCCTGATTGGGTATAGGCCTCCTCCAAAGATGCCCATGCATCTCTATCTTGGGCTAAGTCTCTCCAGTTTGGGCCAGCTGTCCTTTTGAGGTCATCTTCCCATCTGATTAGTGGTCTACCTCTGCTTCTTTTCCCTGTTGGGCCGTTCCACGAAGTTACTTTCGCAGTCCATCTTTGGTCTGTGCATCTTGCGACATGACCAGCCCATTTCCATTTTTGTTTCAATGCAAACGTTAGGGCGTCGATCGCTTTGGTGGTTTTTCTTATATTTTTATGTCTCACTTTATCCATCTTCCGTATGTTAAGCATGCTTCTCTCTAGCCCTCTTTGACAGGTTCTAATTTTATTTGTGGCTTTATAAGACATCTTCCACGTCTGGCATCCGTACGTTAGGCATGGTAAGAGACTTGAATTCATAACTTTTGTTTTTATGTCTGTCGACATATTACTCTTGAAAATTTCTTTTTGACTCCAATATTTATTCCATGTTGATTTTACTCTTCTTTCTATTTCTAGTATGTCGTTGTTATTGTCAAAACTTTTACCCAAGTATGTATAATTTTCGACTTGTTCTAAAGGTTCCCCATTGATCCTTATGTGTTTTTTCCAGCTAGTGTTGGTCATTATCTTGGATTTAGTAAGATTCATTTCCAGACCCACCTTGGCGCTGGCATGGTGCAGAGACTCAATCATGCGTTGCATCTGGCCAGCCGACTCTGATAGGAGTACTAGGTCGTCTGCAAATCTAAGATGGCTAAGGTACTCACCTCTTATATAGATACCTAGACTGCACCAGTCCAACTTGCCAATGATGTTTTCTAGAATTGAGATGAATAGTATAGGGGAGAGGGGGTCACCCTGTCTCACTCCCTTTTTTATGGGGAAACAGGGACCGGTGGACTCGAGTTTGATCTTTCCTTTAGTATTTTTGTATATACTCTGGATAACTTTGATGTATACCTCTTCAACACCTTGCTCTGCCAAGCTTTCCCATATACTGTTATATGAAACGGAGTCAAAAGCTTTTTGATAATCGATAAAGCTTATATATAGAGTCCTCTGTTGTTCTTTGTACTTTTCTATGATTAACTCCATTGTGTGGATGTGATCAGTTGTTGAGAATCCTTTCCTGAAGCCCGCTTGCTCAACGGGTTGCTTTTTTTCTAGTGTTGTGCTTATTCTTTTGGTAATAATTGTTGAGAACAGTTTGTAGAGACTGGGTAATAGGCTGATTGGTCTGTAATTGCCAATATTTTTGGGGTCTCCTTTTTTGTATAACAATATGATGTTTGCTTCCGACCATTGGGTGGGTGTAACAGAGTGGTGGAGTATCAGGTTGAACAGTTTGGCCAACGGCGCGGCCAGAACTAACTGAGCTTCTTTTATTGCTTCATTGGTAATGTTGTCGGGGCCTGGGCTTTTTTCTATTTTAAGCTTTTTTATTGTTTCTACAACTTCGGATTCATTGATCTTTACAAAGTCTTCAAATTGGCCTTCCTTATTGTTATTGATTATTGTGTTGTTATCATTATCACTATATAGATTTCTATAAAACTCCGTGGCCGTATCTATAATGTCCCTTCGTTTGAATACATCTTTGTCCGATTTTTTTAATTCTTTGATCCAGCAATAGTTTGTTCGAAGTTCCTTGAATGGTTTTTTCGTGCTTCCGCAAAGCTTTAGGTGTCTCAATAGAGTGTCTTCTCGGTATTTTTGATAATCTTGTTTTATATACTTGTTGACAATTTTATATAAAGCCGATAGTTTGTTTTTCATGGAACGAGTTTTGTTTGATTGTAGTACTTTTCTTCGTTGTAGCAATTTTTCTGTTCTATCTTGTATTATTTTATATTAATGGTTTTTTTTATTTAACTGTGCAAGTTTTAGGCTTTCCGAAATAGCATTGCTAATTTTATTGTAATAACTTTGTACTGTTTCGTTTTCCTGCCCATTAATTGATTCTGTTAGTTTTAATTTAAGGTTGTCCTTATACTTTTCTATTTCTTCGGTACTTTTTAGTTGACATCCTTTATTAGTGAATCGGGCTCTACTTAGTTTGTGTTTGGAGAGTTTCATTGTTCCTCTGACTGCACGATGATCAGACGGGTAATCCAGGTTCGAAATTTCGAGGTTTGTAAATGACTTTGGTTGGTTTGTGAGGATGTAGTCGATCTCGTTTTTGTGAAGCCCGTCTGGCGTCATCCAAGTCCATTTTCGGTGTGGTTTTTTCTTAAAGCAAGTATTTATTATTGTCAGCTTGTGTTCGAACGCAAAGTTTACAAGTCTCTGGCCTCTATCGTTCCTTTTGCCGTAACCATGTTGTTTCACGACCAAGTCTTCCTTTTCTTTAGCAGCACCTACCTTAGCGTTGAAATCGCCCATAAGTATAATGTGTGAGTGTGCGGTTTTTATGGCTTCTGCTATTGACTCATACAATTCATCAATTTTAGACTCTTGTGCCTCTGTTGTAGGGTAGTAGGCTTGCAAGATAGATAATTTGTGGCCTTCTATGTCCATGTTGAGTACAGCTAAGCGTTCTGACACACCAATGAAACTCTCGATATTTTCTCTCAGTGCCTTGTTTACTAAGAAGCCTACCCCGTATAGCCCCGCTGTCTGTCCCATGTAACAAAATATGAAGTTATTGTATTCTTTAATTTCGTAACCCAATAGTCTGACTTCTGAGATTCCTATTATATCGTATTTTATAGAACTTAAGCTTCTTTCTAGTTCCAATAAACGTTCATATGAAGATAAAGTCTTGACATTGTATGTTAATATTTTTAGTTGATGATTTTGTTTGTTGTTATCGTTCTTAGTAATTGTCGTTTTCTTTGGAGGGTTTTGGTCATAATCCCCCACGGTGACCAACCGGATTTGAGAATTTATTATGTTGTTTGTGTTAATGTTTATTCTTTTTGAATCTTTGTAGAGAGGAGCGACTAATTGCTATGCATTGTTTTTATTTTTTGGGGTTTCCTGGTTTAGTGTAATGTTTTTATTAACTAAAAAATTTAGCATGCTCGGTTTGATTACTCCTTCTGAGATGCTGTTTGATCTTCTAACCGGCGGTTCATTTTGTTGTGATTTATTCTTTTTGTTTGATTGAATGTTTCTTTCCTTTAACTTGTCCTCGTTGGGTTTGGATGGCGAAAGAGAAAGCTTTCTTTTAGATGATTGCTTAAGTACGACCAGTTTGTCGTACTTTAGAAAAGCCATGTTTCCCTTTTCTCTCTCTGCTTTCAATTGATCTTGTAGTTGGTTTCTCTTTTCTAAAACATGTTTAGGGCAGTCTTCTTTCATATAGTAACTTGTATCCTGTAGTGCTCTTTTTTGTTTAAAGATTTTGGACTTTATGCCGAGGTTTAAAAACGTTACCACTACTGGGCGTGGTCTATCACCTTTCTTCCCGAGCCTCTTAACTACTTGTAGGTCACTACAGGATAATTTCATTGAAAAATGTTGTTCTAACCAATTGAGTATATTTTTTTCTAAAGTGTCATATGAAGTTTCCAATTCTTCAATGCCGAAGAAAACTATATTTCTTTGTCTTGCCTCTTTTTCAAGGAAATAGATTCTTTTCTCCTGATTTTCCACTATCTCCTTTAATTTTTCATGTTTTTCTTCCAGAGCAAAGAATTTTTCCTCTAATATTTTATTGATATTTTGTGTAACTTGTTCGGTCACGCTTTTCCCACTTTCCTGTATCGTTCTTTTTTGATCATCTAGCTCTTGTTGGATTTTTTCAGGGCCTTCATAATCTCTTCCATGTTTGTTATTTATAAATTTTGCATAAGCTTATTTACATGTATGTGTCCCCCTCTAGTGGTGTTTCTTGGTATTTTTTGATTTAAACGATAGCACTGTACGCTGTCACAGAGACTAGACCGTACTATCGTACTTCGAAGTAGTGCGTGCTTGTATTAATAGATGGCGTTGTTAAGAGCAAGGTTCGGTTGGATGACTGCAAACCAGAGTAATTTATTGGAAAAAGGTTATGTTTTTTAACGTTTTCACCAAAATGTATTTGATATCACTGTTCTTCGTTTTTTTATTATCTCTTGAGAGTTGTAATTCCCTCCAGTGTCCAACACACAGTAATAACCCGCGGTAGTACGAAAATAACGCACTACAAAGGTTAACAGTCACTCACCAACTTTTTGTCTTTAACTTTTTTACGGATTGTGTCTTTGTTAGTTTTTCTTTATTTATAACACTAGAATTGTTCGTTTAACTTTCACAATAACACTTTATATTTGTTTAATTTGCCTTTAGACTATTTTATTTTAAATATTATTAACGGATCCGATGTGAACCGTGGCACAGTACCGCCCCTCCTCCCCCTATAACCTCTATGTGTGTGTTATTTGAGTAACATATAATATATAAATAATTAAGGAGTTTATATATATTATCTACATTTATTTCATTTCTGATAACCACAAGAAAACTCAATTAAAATACACATATGAAACCTCTTTTAGAAACTTCTTTCTCATTTCTTACCTAAGGATCGTATCTAGAGCCTCAACATATTGTCTGAACATCTTAGTTGGGTATATTCTCCACCAGGGGGCGCGTAGTTCGAGCTCACCCACACTTAAGAAAAATGTCTGTACTGCGTGAATCAGGCGCATGCTCTCCGAGTCTTCTGACGCATCGAAGCAATTCAGTCTTGTGTCCAGAGCTATTAGTCCAAGAGCTGGAAAGTAAATTAGGAAAACTTGATACACCTTTTTACCATGAATAAAGTCTCGCACTAGACACTAGAAGGGCGCATTAGACATTTTAGAAACAATAATAACATTGATAGTATTTTCTAATTCCCGAGCATATTTCCTATTTTTTTTTTACCTGAATGTTTTCTTAAATATACAACAACAGAAGTAGATACGACGAGAAATAATTATCCAACTTGGTAATTCTTTCAATCGATATTATTATCTATAATTATTTTTAATCCATGATCAATCACATCTTTTTTGTAACAGATTTTACATCCTATTGATATCATAAACGCGAAAAAAGTGAAAACCGCAGAACGGATCTGAATGAAATTTGTCAAATAAATAGATTAGGGTCAAAAATAAGACATAGACTATATTTTTTAACCTGGATTTACTACGGGCTCGGCCTAGAGCAGGAGAAGAAACGGGGTGATTTTTTGTCAGTAAGAGTCGGACACTCCCTCTTCCCTCAAGGTGATAAAAGTCCCGTCAAAACAAATGGCTTTCTTTAATCCGGTGCTACGGTGCTACCAGCAAAACCGCTAGCAGAAATTAGTTATAACATACTCTACAAGTGCTAGCATTCGTTGTGTGTGTTTTACATCTTCCAGAACATTCGACTCGGTTGCCATTCGAAACTTACCGGCCCATTAACCATCAAAACTGCGAACAGTACACACGTCTGTACACTTTCTTTTACAAAGGCATAATTAGAGGAATTTATAATTAACTTTTTAGTATTGCCTGACTGTCTTGCCAGGTTGTTAACGTGACTGCCGAGTACCTAAGGAGTCTCGATTTTGAGCATAGTTATTTTTTGTTCTTTAATTTCTATGTAGGATTACAACGTCTTTAGTTTTGGGATAATATACTTGGGACTAAGGAGGCAAATATATTATCCTTTTTCTGTCGCCATGCAACGCTTCCTATGCGTCACGTCCGAAGAGCTGTCCGATAGCAAAGATTCCTACCGAACGTACCTACTTTTTTTTGGCAAGTTTCATGTACTTGGAGTTATTATTGATATTATTGATGAGCCAAAGGACTGAAGATTGAGACCAAAAAGAGCTTGCGTGTTTATTTGCATACAACACTGTAGTATTTTGGCAAAACGATATTCGGTTTTTAACATTTACAAGAATAAACAACCCAAAAAAGTCCGAAAGATATAGATCGTGTATGTGTTTTGAGTTTTAACATATGATTGGACCTGACGATACAGAGCAACCATATCACGGGGAACATTTCAGAAAACCTTCATTACTTGAAGCTCATACATATAACTAGTAAGACATGGCCCCTTCTGGAATGTCTGTATATCTTTGAGTATCAAATGACGTATTGCTTTACTATGTAAATTTTATTAATTTGTAAGTTTTTTCAAGTAGCATATAAAAACCTCAATACTCACACTCTAAAGACCATTTATGGACTTCGTTTAAGAAATCACCGGGCGTTTCTGAGTTTTCGTCCCTTATTTGTCGGACTCTGGAAAACATTACAAAAGACCTTGTAGAAAAACAGACTGATAGGTACTATTACTAAATCACCTAGCACTTGAATGGAGCATTTTAAAGCGACCTTGGTTTTAAAGTAACTTTAAAATGAATAAAACTTTTATTCAAAAGTAAACATCACACTATTTACAGATTTTTAGATATTTTTATAAAACTGTAAAAAAATCCAACACACAAAACGCAATATTGTGACTTCTTTTGATACCAAAATAAAATATTAGTTGTATATAGGTAAACGGCAAAACCACCGGCGGACAGTCTGTATGACAATGACACAACTGATTTCTTATTATTATTACATATCAATGAAATAAACATTGTGCGATTGGGGAGGCCTATGTCCAGCAGTGGATGACATCTGGCTGATGATGATGATGATGATGATGACGATGATGATGATGATGATGATGATGAATGGATAAACCTTACCTTTGGACAAAGGCATCTGCTACTTCAGCAACGGGCACCGTATACTGTGCTGCTGCACCGGCGCTCAACGCCACCCGAGATACTTTGGTTCGGAAGGCAGACCAGGAATCACCATGACTGAAACAAAACAATACCATCTTTTGTCAATTATTATTTTGTGAAAACGTGTGCAGTGTAACTGTTCTCGTATCGTAGGTGTTCCTCACGGCTATGCAAGAAAAAAAGTTATAAATCTGCACTCATTAGGATAAGGTGTGAGCCATGCTTCAGCACGGATGAACTGGCCTTGTTTTTGTCAGTGGAAAATCATCAAATGACTTCTCCCGCCCAGGGTTAGGCGAGAGACAGTGTCAGACTCTTACTGTCTAAAAACCCCCCGTTCTTTCTCCTGCTTTGGGCCGAGGCCGCGGTGATTCATTGCGCTTAACCCGCAACCCCGGCTGACCATCATCCCTATAGGGCCCCGTCTATTGGCTCTTTGAGTACGCGTGCGCTCGGGCCTGGTTTTGATCGGGCGGCGAGCTACCCTTACTCGCCGTCCGCAGACCTGCGCTTACGGTGGCCGGAAATCATCTCTCGCGGATGAATGGGCCTACGGTGTAAATTAAGTGTTACACCTTGTGAATAATTATATTTTGTTTTTTTATTCTTTAATAATACATTCAGTCAACAAAGTATCGGGAATGAATGTTTTTTTTATGGTTCCAAATTCGAATTTTTTTTTTTTTTTTGTTGTTCTTAGATTGGCATAACTGTTTTCCATTTTGGCGCGGAATTTGAGTTGCATCTGTCATTTATATTAAAAACAGTGCTAAAGTTAGTTACTATTAGGTACAATTATTTGTTGTGACTTGGTAAATGCAAAAGTTGTTTGGATGTTTGGAAAGAGACTGGACGGATCTGGATGAAACTTGGCACAGGCATGGGATAAACTCCGGAATAGGACATAGGTTACGTGCGGAAGCTAGTCGGACATACATTTGTCAACTTACACTGCAATAACACCGGCACAGTTTTCTTCAGCACCAAAGAAGTCTTTCCTCAAGGTGTGTTTGTAGTAGTTCAGAGAAGGCATTGATGGTCTGAAAGCATCAAATGAATTAAAATTAATAAAGAGCTCAAGTTGCCCTATGACTGCTTGGTTAGTCACTAGCTCGACTGTCAAACGAGGAGTTTCGGATTTTCAGATCGAACAAATTACTATTAGTCTTATTGACTCTGAAGTTGAGACAGGGGTATAATAATACATCCAATTTGACCGCTTATTAAACACCTTACATACGCTTGTAGACTTACACCTCAACTAATTATTTCGGGAATGAAAAGACGCGATTAATTTAACCTGTCGTTGAAATTATTGTTATCCAATATATTCTTCAATCATCAAAAAGACATAACTTATTAATACAAATCAATCCTTACCTATGCGGCGCCGCGTCTTCGCCCCTGAAAACCCTTTCCACTTCACTGGCATCGAAGACGAACAGCATATCAGGTCTTCCAAGTAGACCGGTCACCTTCACACAGTTTCCATACTCAGCTCGCAAAGACAGACATACTTTGTCTATATGTTCTACTGAATATCCTCCTGTAGAGTTTTTCACAACAATAAATATATAGTTCGATATAGATCTGATCATCATCAAGTCGCTGATTTTTTACACCACACTTGTGTATAGCCGACCACGGCGAAACAGAATGGAGATTTAAGGGCCTACGCGCCTTTTAAGCCCTAAAACATTACATTCTAAAGCCTATTCCTCATAAACGGTTGGGTGTAAAGAATGAAAAAAATAATATGTTTACTGTACATTCATCTATCTATACTAATATTATAAAGAGGTAAAATTTGTAAGTTTGTATGTAGGGGTAACCTTTGGAATATAGATATAGATAGATAGCTACAATGTTCCTGAGTGCTATAGGCTATAAAACATCACGCTACCGCTAAATGGAGCCGAGCAGCGGGTGAAAACGTACGAGAGTAGCTAGTTTAATACATGTGAGTAAATTTGATTTTCTTATGACAAATAGTTACCTAAGCTGTAAAAAAATGCCTATTCCTTCAAAAAGGCTTGGTTTATTTATTTATTTTTTTCACAGATCAATCGGTGTTAAATTTTACTACAAAGTGGGTAGCACTCATGTAAATAAGTCAATATTTGACAAAGAACATGTTATATTATTGGGATTTCCATATATAAAAAGCGGGCGAACGGAGCCTCAGCTTTTCTCAGTAGCATATTTTCTCGTGCTTTAGCATGCAGGGTTATTGAGGGTACTATACGCCTTAAGAGAAACATGGGAGGTAATGGACATATTATTATTCACTTTTCTACAAACATTACACAAATAATAGAGTCAGTTTATTAATTTATTTATTTCCACTTTTTACACAATGTACCTAAGGGTAAGTGTAAGTAATGTAAGTAAAGGTCAAAAGTGTCGTTGCACTCTACCAATTTTAAAATGACTTAAATTTCTTTGTAATAAAAGTTCAACAGTTCACAGCCAGTTAATTCAATAATTTAGTTCTATGTTATAAATTAAAGCAGTCCTCAACGATTGACTCTATTCTAAAAAGATATTTTGGTCATTTTAAAATTGGTAAAGCGCTATTGCATTTTTGACCCCTGGCTATGGCGGAGTTAAGGCCGTAGGCGTTCTCTACCAGTCTGCCTTTGGGTGGTGGAGAAATAGAAGTGATAGGTGCAACTCTGGTGGATAAAATAATGAAGAAACTAAACACATGCTCCGTGGTGGCCCGGAGCTTAAGGAGCCCGCTTTTCATGAATGAGCTGATGAGCTCTCTGGCAAGTACCAATGTGAAGTTTTCCGAGTTATATGTACTTTCTATGATTATTTAGACACCACTGACATACGGTGAAGGTAAACATCGTGAGGAAACCTGGACTTATAATTTCTAATTATAAGTTTGAAATCACCAACCCGCATTGAGCAAGCGTGGTGATTAATGCTCAAACCTTCTCGGTGTGAGAAGAGGCCTTTGTTCAGCAATGGGCACTTATAGGCTGATGATGATGAAACACATGCTACAATTATACATAAATATAAATAAAATAGGTGTAATACATATAAAGCCAAGATATATGTTAATTCTTGTTTTGTACTCGTTAACAAAGTTCGCGTGATTGAATGTGCTTCGACTACCTACATTGAAGTTAGGTTACCTAATAAATGTAGGTACTAACATAATCGTGTTTATTGGTGCATGTATCAATTTTGTTTTAATCATGAAACAAACAACCCGTTTTAACACAAAGACATGGCTAATATTCGATTGATTAAATATAACGACTTACTTACTTGAGTTAACTGAGAAAAGCTACTAGGTTTGTTGACGCGACGCGTACGCTGCTCATGAATAAGAGTCCCGTTGTGACTTGAAACTAGTCGAGCTTTTCTCAGTTACTTATACCATAAAAAAACATATATATTATTAAATTTAGTATGTCTCACGATAGTTACTATTCTTTTATTGTTTTATATTGGTTTCCGTTTTTATAGCTTATACGCCAAAATTAATATTTTTACATTACTTCTTTTTATGGGATAGGTCGGCAAACGAGCAGTCGGAATACTTGATGGTAAGCAATCTTCGCCGCCCACTGACACCCGCAACACTAAAAGAGTTACGAGTGCGTTGCTCGCCTTTTGGGGTATTACGGATTGGGAAGGGATGGGGAGAGGGGGACGGTTTGGGGCCTCCGGTAACCCCACTCACACGGCGTAACACAAAACTGTAGTAGTTACACGCCGGTTTTCTGTGAGGCCGTGGTATCACTCCGGTTGAGCCGACCCTTTCGTGCTGAAGCTTGGCTCTCAAAATTAATGTCTCTACTAAAAATAATATCTATCACATTCACGACCGTTACTTTCATTAAATATAATGTAAATCACGACACGTTTTTTCTGTAGCCAATTAAGTACACTTTGAGGGACCACACCGAGGGCTACATTTACCAAAAAAAAAAAAGAAATGACCCAGAAACATCAGAGAAACCGGTACACTACACAATGTGCGATAATAAATAAAAATCCAAAATGTAACTTCTCCCTTTTTCGAATTCGATTAATCGAGTTGAAATGAATCGTAGCTCCGTTATGGTAGAATCGAGAACCGTGTTCACGCGAATTCCCGTTCCCTGCAGTTTCACTTTCAAAACACTCGGTCGGTTACGACCTCTCCCTAAGAAAGTGAGAGTTCTAAGATTCATCGTTTCTCGTTCTATCGATTAATCGCTACACTAATTTCGATTCGGTTGTTAACAACGATTTGGAACGTGTTTGAATTTTCAAATTGAGACTTTTTAATAGCAATTGCCTTTATTATTTTTTACAATTTGTTTATTCTGATAGCGAAATAAAATATATAAAAATAAAATAAGATATAAAAAATATATAGAAAACTGTCTATACTACTTCATATGGTTGGCCAAGTACCTCGCAGCTAACGAAAAGACTCTTCGTTTCTAAAATTTTGCTTTCATAAGGTCGTTTTACGGTCTATAAAAATCACAACAAAAAATTGACATAATTGGCCCAAGCATTAAAACTTTAAGCCCCTGAGTTTTATCAGCGGCATATGTCGTGGTGGCCCAGAAGATAATAAATCCGCTTCTCATGCATGTGGGTGCCTGGAAACCCGGCAAGTCCTGGTGTTTTAATGTGATTGTTCCTAAGTTATATACAATATATTTACTAAGTGTAATTACACCAAACACTACTAGAACTAGACAGACCACTGACAAACAGTGAAGGAAAACATCATGATGATGATACCTGGACTTATAATTTCTTATTTTGCCTTTGAAATTAGCAATCCGTCTTGAGCTAGAGTGGCAATTAATGCTCAAACCTTTTCCGTGTGAGAAGAAGCCTTTATTTAGCAGCTAAGTGGACACTTACAGGCTGATAATGAATGAATGATGCTTGTGTATGACACACAATATAATTAATTAGTAGGTAATATACAAAAAACATCACATACAACCTGAATACATAAATATGAACACAGAATCATTAATTAGCACTTTCGGTGTCTTCATATTAGGCTTTCAGTTTGAATTTGTATGCACTCGAAACGCACATATTAAATAAATATTTTCAAACAAACGTCAACTGCATTCAAAAACAGCTGTTATTAACTTTCACGAACAACAGAACTTATGATAATTGTATGAATAACAACAATTACGAATATATTTACTTAAAAAACAGATTTGTATGTTGCAAATACATAATTTGCAGGTTATAATTATTGTTCGTTACTGCCATAAGTAGTACCCACTAAGGAAGAGAAATCTTAATTTTTAGATCGGTCTAGTTGTTAGGACTTGCTAGTCTTAGATTTAATCCTGGTACCAGACAAAATAAAACAAAAAAACTTTTGTTGCTAAGTATTACAAGTTATAGAACAAATGCTTTCAATACTTTACACAATTTAAAGTTTCAAGAGTTAAAAACGTACATGCCCATGGCCAAGGGGTTCTTCAGAAAAAAAACACTTAATGCAATTGTGATGCCTTTTGTCGCCTTTAAGGAAATACCGACATCATCGTCATCTAGTTTTTCATATAATTTTAAGTGAAAAAGTGCCATTTTCCATTTGACTGCACGGTTGGTGCGGTGGCTGGGTAAATGTGTCGCGTGTTCGATTCCCGCAAGGAACAATTCTATGTGTGATTTAAAAATTGTTGTTCAGGGTCTGGGTGTCATGTGTAAGTATGTGAAATTGTATGTTTGTAACCGCACACACGACACAGGAGAAAATTCTAGTTAGCTTCGTTTTTTTTTTTAATTTTTTGCCTATACACGCGTATAGGCAAAAAATAAAAATTCATTAATTTAATTTTCCTTGATTTCAGGGAGGAAGTTAATCAGTCTCTCGCCACCCAAGGGAAGACTGATGGTCAGACTCTTACTGACTAAAATCACCCCTGTCCTTGTCCTGTTCTAAGCCAGGCCGCGGTAAATCGTTGAGTATACACAAACACCAACAACTATAGTTTGAGCTATACTTTACTGTATGTTTAATTAACTAGAGGGCGCTATAAAATAAAAGGCAAGCGATACTAACATCACAGCAGTTTCGAGAGAAAATATTGATTTAATCAGTCACGTCCAATACTAAAGGGCGAGACTAGGTTAGGTTAGGATTCCAGTTTAGAAAACCTAATGCAGACAAGAACCTTTCCCCTAGTTCAGCAAGTTAGGAGAAAACTTGTATTAAAACAACTACCTACATATACTAGTTAAGAAACTGGTCTGAGAAAGATGAACGCCTGTTTAATTTATTGTGTAATTATAAATATAAAAATTGTGTGATTAGCATTAAAAAAGAGAATATGCACAACTTATAATACTTTGGGGGCTAGGCATTAGTGAAGATATCCCAGTCGGCAGGTTGTGGGTTTTTACACGAAACAACATACCGCGACCTTACTCGAAGCAGGACTTGGAACACGGTGGATTTTTATACATTATATGTATATATTTTTTATTACGAAAAGCTCTTCTAATATCACGTCACAACGGGACTTCTATTCATGAGCAGCGTGCGCGTCG